GCCTGGCTCAGATATAGTTTATACCAAAGATTAATCAAATGCTATCCTAATTTATATAATGAACAAGGCAGATCAGTAGGTTTTGCAGACTCAAGGATCAGTGTTTTCTGGAAAGTAAGAATAACTAAATCAGGCAATGGGTAGATGCTTTGCCAGATTTTAGTAGGAGCACCTGAAATAAACACTTTCAAAATCTTGCCCATGACACTCACCTCTAGTGAGCTTTTGCTCCTGCTGACAGATGCTAGTAGCTTGATCTTCCTGAGATAACAGCCCTTTTCCCTTCCCTCAAATCTACTTTGGTTTCCTACTGCTAATGGTTTCTGGTCCCTCTAGAAGTTACAACCCTAGGCTCCCTCCCATTCAATACCTGTCACAAAGTACCTATACTTCTCTACTCTTTTTTCTTCATTCACATTTGTCTTCCTACAGTCTTCCCGCCTTTGTGCCACCACAAAGACCTTTTCTCCCCATGTTGCTTCCCCATCTCTCAGTGAAATGTCACCATCCAGATCTCTGTAAAGCAAGAAACGTATTTTATATGAGACTACCTGAGGCCCAAATTGCGTGATTCCTAAATCATGTTTCACATTCTTTTCTTCAACCAGCATTGTACCCCACCAAACACCTTTGTTACTGAACACTGCAGTCGGAGAGATGTGCAACTTCTTGATACTTTCATTGCTTTTTTTCTTTTCTGAAAGTAGAGCTTACAAACCCTGCCTGCAAATCAGGGTACCCCCTTGTATCGAACTCAACAGATACAGAACAAAGCCAGCCAGAAAAGATGGTCCTTGTCTCTCTCTACTAAATAGCCAAAGTACAAATCCCGGTTTTGGAGCCGGATCATTCAGCTTTGCCTCAGGGATATTTGCACCATGGTGTGTCACAGTGCAGCTATGCCCTAAGTAAACCATTGTACAGACTTGTGACAGGCAGACATAATAAAGAGACATAAAACACTTGAAAAGCCTTAATTGTCAAGAAAAAGAAGAGTTTGTTAAGGGCAATGTTTGAAAGAGAAATAATTTAATCCAAAAAAAGGCAAACCTGAGTCAGAATCTCCAGATAAAATTTCTGGCAGTGGGATACACCAGCATGGAAATCGCCCTCCAAGGAGAGCAACAAAACCCTCCTCGTTTGGAATTTTAAGGCTCATGTAGACTGGGCACAGAGCAGAATCCAGGGAACAACATTAGATGCCATGAAAGGCTTACTCCGCTGCTAAATTCAGTGACAGAGAAATGAGCTGAAAGCTCTGGTGTTACTAAGGTACCTCTTATTCACAGCTCAACTGTCTTTTATGTTTACATTCATTACAGGATGCTGACGTGGTGTTTTCTTCTGTACTCTGATACGTTTTTTTAGCTGAAAAACACTAGTAAAGAGATTGAATTACTGACACAGAAACATTAATTGATTATTTGATATTATCATATTCTATGTTCATCACAGAAATAATTAAAATTATTTCCTTTCCTTCAAAAATGGGAGAGAAGAGACAGGCAAATGGGAAATTGCCTCCGAACCCCACAGAGAAATAACTGACACAGGCATTCGCCTCGGCAGTCCAGCTAGTCATGTGGCTGGCACATGGTCCTGAGCAGCCAAGTCTTCAATAAAGATAAAAGCATGACTAATTGCAGTCTTCCTTCTCAGGTGCCACAGCAGTAGGCATTAGCCAGACTGAGCTCAAAGCACTAGAATAATTAGCCTGAGTCGATGGTGGGCCAGCATTTGTCTGCCGTGATGACTTGACTGGGCTGGAGCTGCGTGGTCAAAAGCCACCTCTAAAGCTGTCCTCTGTAGATGCTCATTCCAAATACTGAGGTTGAGTCCCAAGGGTGAATGCCGGGTAAAAAATAAAGACCAAGAAGTTAAGACAAAGGAGGATTTGGGACATCTCTCCTGATAACCTTTTTGCTTAGCTAGGGGAAAGCCACAGGACAGAATAATCGTATCCCATGGAAGAAGTTAAAAAGGCAAGAGCTGTAGCTACTGCTGACGTTTGATCAGGAGAGCTACTGGAGCGAGCAGCTGCAATTGGAGCCGAAACTTTTTCCTTCTCCAGTTCTTTTTGGCGATATTTTATGTGACGTTAAATTAAGGTCAGATAAAGGACACGTTAGTAATGTCCTTGCCAGTGAAAACCACAAGTTAACTATTAAATTATGTTTATTTACTTACTGTTTTATAAAAAGAGTTTCCCTTTGAAAGTCCATTTGAGGAACCTGTGAGACTGAACAATATTTGGACACAGCTCTGAATAGTTAATGGAAGTTCTCAGTGCTCTGTCTGAAACCAGTTGTGGTTCCCTTTCAGCACATTAGATGAATGTATACACTGGGAATATTTTACTTTGTTTTATGTTATTGCAATTTGCAAAAATTACACTAATAGCACAATTTCATGCAATTATCTGAATGCAAAACATTGTTCGGTTGAATTCCCATAGCCTAATCCTACTAGTTCCCTTGGCTGTCTCACTTTCAATTATGAACCAAGGTCTGCACATCAGATGGAATGCTGCTATTGTAAAAATGGATCCTTTCTTTAAAAGTTATTTTCAGTGGTCTTCTGCTATACAGGCTGTTTTTATTGTCTGCAACCAAAGGCACTAAGGAAATCTGATTTTAACATCACAGGCCTGCAATACGTATACTTTAGCTAGAGCAGTTTGTTGTGTTATTGTGGTAATAACCCAGTTATGTTTGCACCATAACTGTACCTCTAAATGTCTCCTGAGCTGCACGTATGGGGCAAAGCCTGGCTTTATGAATACACAAGGGAAGGGGAAGAAAAGAGGAAGGCCATACAGAGAATTACATCCTCTTTTCCTTCCATGTGTAACACAGCTAACACAGTTTTGGAAGGCAGGCGATGGATGATGTTAACACTACATTAATGCTAACTTGATGGTCAAGTCTGAGTGTTCAGAAATCATAAGGCTGGCTAGGGGATCATACATGTCTGGTTTTGTATTTGCTTTTCCCTTTTTGAAGCCTTTACAGTTCGCATGTTCAAGTTTTACTCCATGATCCAAGAAAAAAATTGAGCTTTTTTTCCTTTTTAAGTAAAGTCCAAGTTTTTATTAAATCGCATGACTCCAGGATCTAGGACTTAAAGGAAAATACCAAAGAAGTTGAGACTTATAAGAGTCAGTGACAATGTGCTAAGTTCCCCAAATCAAGTTAATGAATTAGCCTAGCCAACTGACCTCCCTCTCTGGAAGGCAGCACGTTTTGTACGTCTTGAAAAATGTGGATAACGTCATACTGTTGAGTATACTTCCTCGAAGCTTCAGAAGGCTTGACTCCTGCTCTAATACATCCCTCTCTCTGTTCCTCTGGAATACCTATCCTGCATTTCCTCATTTGTGCTCAATGTACTGCATCCTTGATTGCTTACAGACCTCTCCTTTTTGGTAGGAGGAAACCATTCTTACATCCACTTTGGAAAGAACTTGCATTCCTTGACTCGACCAGGACAAATGTAATAGATCCTTTTTAACTGAAGTTACATGCATACATTTCTTTGAAAATCAGTCTCTAAGCACCATTCCTTTGTTGTGAATGGAAAGAAATAATACGCATTTCATTATAAGATAGGGCAGACAGCCTCTGGCCTTGCCTGGCTCCCTCCTTTGTCTATAGAGGAAGGCTTCAATAACTAGGTCCTTTCTTGTAGATGGATAACATCAGATGAAATGAATACCAACCTTGGTGTCACGTTTTGGGTACCCATGAACCAAAATAATAAAATTAAATTCCTTTTTCATTTTCGCTGCCTTAAATATCTTCCATCTTTTTTGCCCTAAAGGAACAGCTGCCTCTCCAGGCATTTATCTGACATCATTATTTAGATCTCCAAATGACCTTCATCAAAGAAAAGGAACTGGAGACATGATATTTTGGATATTAGAGGGTGAAAAATAAGCAGAAAAAGAGGGAAAAAACCAAGTAAGATTTTAAACAGGAGAGCAATAAAGAACAAACTCACCTTTTTTAGCTTTGCATTTCACCTTTTACATACTAATTATATAGTCACACACTCAGATACACACACATAGATACCCCGTTACTAATTACCTTTAAGGGATACCTCAGAAGCAGGATTCTCCCATCTTATTTTGGCTGGCATGCTTTGTAGTAGCCCTTCTCATTGCATCGGAGAACATGGCCATTCTGGCATTTTACTTACACCGTATTTTATTTGTAAGTATTAGTGCTAGCCCAGAAGGAAGTCTCAGGGAACACAAATTTCATTTTGTGCTATGTGCCAGCCATCTCCATCACAGACACCAAAGATTAAAAAATATATATCAGCTCCCTAAGGATCCTTTCATTTTCTTCGCCTGCTTTCTTAGAGCTGCCACAGTCGCTCCCTCTTTGCAGAGGATCAGACAGACACATGTAACATCTCTACTCACTTGTGCAGGGAATCACTCACAAAGCTGGTTCCTATCATTAAGTTACTTGGAGAAGTAACCGATAGTGATGCAGGCCTCGGCAATTATTTAACATCATGAACAGACAGAAATAAGTGGACTGGCTGCCTTGATGCTGCAGTACTTCTTTCTCACATGACTGTCTGGAAATTCTGCTGCCTTGAATCTCTGGTTTCTAGTGAATGTATAGTAAGGCACCAGCCTCTTGCTTGGGGATGCCTTTCACAGGTATGGTACAGTGTATTATGCTTTCCAGCATTTATGTGTTATATGCACTGCTGGCGCAAAAGTTTACATTGGAACTGGCAAGGTTATTAATTACAATTCTGATTTAACCTTCCTACGTCTTTTATATCTTTGCAACACCCATTTTTATATATATATGCATGCACACATACATTTATAAATATACAAGCATTTGATGCTCTATTTTTGGAGCAGAAATCAATACTAGCTGCCCACTGCCAAGTGGCTCCCCAGAATGTGTGGCCATGAAGTTCTGCATTAACAAACACCGGTACATGGGACATAGAGGAGAAAAAAGAAAAATGTTCAAATTAAGGCATATTTCTATTTCACATTTGCAAAGCATTATATACACAGAAAATTAGAAGGGAACAAAATCCACACTCTTAGTGCCCTGAAAGTTGTGTATCACACATTATATTCCATTATACATTTTTTAAAAGGCTCCACCTACTCTCTGGGACTAGAAATCTTTTAATAGCATGAAGTTAGTCAATCTTTCTTTCATTAATATTCATATATATGCCCCAGTTCTTACATTTAAATCCACTAATGAAGATTCACTGCTGCTGCAGCTGAACACGGTGCAGGACTGGGACCCTTTTGTGCCAGCAGCCCCCACGGAGCACTGAACTGCGTGGTGGGCAAACGGCATTCATTAAACAGCGGCCGCTTCACCTGCTTTCTGCTCCCTTAGTCCTTCTGCTAATTCCTTTAATATCTTCAGCGCACCCTCAGCTGAGGGGGGATGTGTTCCCATTGCGGTGATGAGAATGATAGGCAGGGACTTGTAACGTGCCTGTCCTCTGTGCTGCAAAAGACATTTTAATAATCTTTGCCAAGTTATTCAATCTTTTCATCTTTTGCATTATAAAATGTTCCCCATTTTATGAAAGGGAGACAATAGTGCTTCTCTTCTTCCCAAGGATTTCTTACAACTAAACAGCTTCTGGCTTCCATTTAGCACTAACTCGATCTCTTTACGCAGCACCACACTGTGATGTGTAAACTTAGCCTGAAACAGAGTCTGGAGGCAGAAGAGACCTTTACGATCATTTAGTCTGGCTTCCTCTAGGATTTTTCTCAGGGATTCCTGCATGAGGCTCCACGGTTTCAGTTGCCAAGGAAACAATTATCAATCTTTTCCATCCCTCACCATCCATATCCCTCCTTTCCATTTTGTCACTTCTTGCTCCGATAAAAAAATCCTGTCAAATGTCCTAGTCCTTAGCTCTGGCATCCTCGCCTCCACCCCAAAGAACGGGAAAGGGTAGTGAGGACCCTTGGCTGGGAGTTTTGCCTGAAGCTTACCTCTTATCCTTGGATTCTGTGCTGCATGTGAATGACCCTTTGAAAATGATCCTCTCAGCTGCAGATAGCTTATCAAATGCTGTATTGTTTGGTTAACACAAGACATATTATTTTTTAAATTACCCAGCAGTGTACCGCTTGATATATTTTTGATATCTTTCCTTTCACCACAGCCTTAGCTTCACTACAGCCTCATGCAGAAATGCTTTGGAAAAAACCACTTCATTGTAACATTCAGCTAAAGAGCAAAAGCAATAATGAGGAAAAGAAAGGAAGATGCAAAGAGATGGAAAACTGCGTAGGAGGACAATAGAAAGCAAAAACCCTGCATCAACTAGAGAATAAATTAGATGCAGTCAGAGCCAGAGATAAACTTTTGGAGTCTCAGGAGGTTAAACTCAGGTACCTTCAGGCAAGTTACAGGAGATCTGCATGGTTCCTTAAGGTCTAATGAGTCCCACCTGTATAATTCATAGCTTCTCACAGTCGCACTGATTTTCTACCCTTAAACATAACTCTGATCAGGGTGACTGTTTGAAGGACAGAAGGGTGTCTCACCAATGTAATTTGAAAGGTAATCCCCTCAAATTCAGTGGAATTATATCAGTGTAATCAGTTCCCCAGTGTGCACAGGAAGGAGGATGAACACACCAACTGCAGGGAGGGAAAGAAGAACCAAGTACTCACAAAAAGCTTATGGGGAAGAGGGCTGCCATTTGGTATGTTTTGATAATTCACTGCTTAGAGTTATTGTCCCCCTTTTATAAGTAACCTAATGATAGCTCACATAAAGGAAAGCAGACTTACCTTGCAAACCTCAGGAATGTCAGATGATCAAAGAAAAGTCAGCGACACATAGAAACTGAAACATTCCTCAGGGTAAGCTCCTAGGGAGAGAGAAACAAGGTAGACCACACGAATAGGACAATTCCTGCTTATGGTCAGGGAGTCATGCTTCAGCCCTTCCTCTTCTGTATACTCATTTTTGGAGCTTGCTGACGTTTTTTTGCTCTGTGTGTGAGAGAGAGACATAACAGGATGGTTCTGAGGATGGCCAAACCATGCATGTATACACAGAAGACGTTATGTCATACATACACCACAGTGGAAACACTTGGCGCATGTCCAGTAGATCTGGCACCAGAGCCACTGTGCCCCTGCTGGGACCACCAGGAGCCCACACCTCAGGACAGGCCTGTGGCATTGCTCACTATGAGCCTGGGAAATCTGGATATTTTGGCCATTTGGGTCCATTTGTTTAAGATGCTGCATCTAAACACAGCCCAGCAAGATGCACGGATACTGAAATCCCTGATACTTTTTCCTGCAGAAATCACTTGCTGATGGTTTAGGGTGGTTGCAACAGAAGTAGTAAGATAAATCTATGTGTGAAAAACGATGGACAAAACAAGTTATTTTTCTGAATGACAACAATATCTCAGTTTTCCTGTTCGCTATTTTCCTGCCAGGCTGTACAGAAGAATGTTAGAGGGAAGCAAATAGGAAGAAAACAGTGACAATGTACCAATACCGTTTCAAATATCACAGAGCTGTTAAAAGAAGTATATCGAGGAATATCTACCCACATAACTTCAAGCAGGCGAGTGTTAATTTATCCTAAGTCCAGGGAGAATAAAGAAGACACTGAACTGCTGAAAACCACAGCTAGACAAAAAGGAATGGATGAACAGCAGTGTTGGGATGAGTCAGAAAAAGCCAGCCTTTAAGAGAGAGTTGGTTTTCGCACTTGACCTTGAACAGGTGCATTTATGCTCAGTGGAAGCTCTTGAAACAACTGTGTTTTCTGGTAAGACTTATGTACAAATACTCTTTCTTTGTTTCATTTCATGTTTCATCTTCTGATTTTCTTCCTTTGGCTGAAGAAATATCTTTTGTTTCAAAAAAGGTATTCTTGAGCCCCCTGGATCAGCTGCTGGCCCAAAGCGTGTTGGGTCAGTGCAGTGCAGAGCAGGGGCTGCTGGCTTCTCTATTCACATGTTGAATGCTGGACTCAACTACCCTGAAGAAGGCTATGTGGAGGGAAAAAACCATCCCTGGTTGGCAGTGACATGAGATGACTTAGTGTGCTGGCTGCCTCACAAGCCTGTGCTTTCTCCCCTCGGCAGCAGTACACAAATGCGAGAACTCATTATTCCCAGATAAGGAAAGCAACAACAACCCCATAACAACAAAAAAAAAAATCACCCAAGAAAAAAACCCCAACAAACAGGTAAACCTGAGAAGGGTACTGTCACTTGACCCTACTGTTTCTCCTGTCAGGGTGTGCTGCACAGTTCCCAGGCAACCGCTCTCCTGCTGCTGCCTGCCCCTGCCAGGCTGATGGCAGGGAAGAGGGTATCAGTTTGCAGAAAGAGAGTGATCCCATGCCACGCAGAAACAGCACGGTCTTCCCTTACGGCAGACCCAAGCATATTAATTGAGCAAATGGCACCAGGAGGCAAAACCTGAAGGTTATCTCTTCTGCTGCCTGCATAGGCTTTAAACTACTCAACTCCTGTTCACACTATAGGACAGCTTGGCAGTGGGGTGCAGGCAGCGGTGTCCTCTCCGCAGCCCTGGCTGGAGATGTACTGGGGAGGAAAAGGCTCTCTACTGCTTAGGAAGCCTGAGAGGGAGTCAGGAAGGGCTCCGGTCGTGGAGGACTTGTGTCCAGGAGAGCCCCTACTGCTTGCTTCTGGGTCCAAGACCCTTTATGCCCTCAGAGTCAAAAATATCTCATTTCTTCAAATCTCCTCTAAGATCTTGGATGTTTCAGACTTGTCAACGCCATCCACTAAGCTAAACATCCCAATCTACTCCTATTCACAGCTTCTACCTTTCCAACACTAAAGTAGCCCATTGCTATCAGAGCATGCCTGATCACTCTGCGTGACTGTGTTAATCACTGTCTTCTGTCCTGCTAATCATTGCCAACCCCTGCTGTTCTCAATGGTGATTTCATAGAATCATAGAATCATTGAGGTTGGAAAAGACCTCTAAGATCACCGAGTCCAACCGTCAACCCAACACCACCATGCCCACTAAACCATGTCCCTAAGCGCCTCATCTACACATATTCATTTAGATCATAGATTAAATTGTTACATTAATGGATTAAACAGCTTCCAGTGTTGCCCTAATCTCCATGAGCCTCTCCTGGACTCTTCACTGGCTGTTTGAGGTCTGTCAGTTGGCCTCCTCTCAGTGCCGTTCACACAAACTGTATTGATATTGCAGAGTGTTCATTTTCAGACTCAAAATGCAGCGCACTACTGACTCATATGCCCAACACACTTTCACATACATTATCACTATGCAATTACCTTTGTCAACCAAATATATAGTCTCATCAAAGCACAAAAATGAGGTTTGTTTGACAAGTGTGCTTATAGTTACCATAAAACTATGTCAGTGGCATTAATCATATTCTTTCCCTTAGTTCTTTTGTGACTGAATCCCATACAAGCTTTCCTTTATTTTCCCTGGAACTGAGCTAAGGCTAGCCAGCCTGCAACTACTGGGCTCATTCTTTGGGGCAAAATTAATACTAGTCTTTTGCTCTGCTCTATACTGCTTTTATTGTGTCCTGACCCCACTTTTCTCTGCCTTTCTCTGCCCTGACCTCCTTCACAGAAGAGCATGTCGTCTTTTGCTCCTGCAGAGGCTTAGGGGGAGGGCTTGAGGCTTCTTCCCCTCCCTTACAGAGCACTGTGGAGCTACTGCATGTATGAAACTCTGGGTTCTGGGAGGGTAGAGGGCAAGAGAGAGGGCTGTGGGGATCTGCATGCCCACGGTACCACCTCGGTACCTCCACCATGTGTTAGTCCGTCCCACAGAGACGGCCCCTAGTGATAAAAGGGACCAGACTGCCTGAGAAATGAGGGATGAGTGAGTAAGGGCAGAGCTGGGGAGTTCTCCTGCCCCTGCTTACACTTCTCCTAACCTTTGTCCAACAGGTTTAGCAGTACTGCCCTGGTTGATGATACCATAATATCATCCTTTTGGTTGTTATCGGCAGCAAGGCTCAAATGGTATAATTTCTCCTTGCCTGTGGGTCTACTCTAAAGTCTGCTGGAGTCTTTTCATTAGCATCAATTAGCATCAGATCAGAGTTTATGATTGCATTTCCCTGGCAGTGTAAAAGATGCGTCACACTCATTCTCTTCCTTTTTGGGATGCTCAGCATGATCAGAGGGTCTCCTGTGCAGGAGAGCAGTAGCAGTTGCATTTGCTTCTCCAGAGGCGTTACAGGGCTTCTTTCCACTCACCAGGCCCCTTTCATGCAGCGTGCAGTTTCAGAGCCACTGGTGGGGCTCCTTCCCACCAAACCAGATTCTCTGATTGCAGGATTCCCCAGAGAATTAAAATAGATTTTTCCCACAAGTTATTAAAGAAATCAGTGTTTACTCACCAGGAAACAGATTCAAGATCATACGGCTGTCCTGCCAGGGTAACCTGTCTTATAAGCCTGTATAAAGAGCATATGCCAGGCCACGGAGAGCACATGAGAAACACACGTTGCACGGTACAGAGGGTAGATGCAGCAGAATCGGTTTCAGATGATCGTCACAGCATTCAGCAACGTACTTCAAGTGCCCTTTGCTGAGGAGGCCTATTAATAAATGGAGAAAGAGGCCATAATAAACTAAAGAACAACTGCTTCACAGTTCAGAGACTAAATATAGTGCCCTGGGCAAGCAAGCGAGATGGCTCAGTAACAGACAGCTCAGCACAGACCAGTTAGGACCATTGATAACTCTGCTTATTGCAAAGAGGAAAAGCAGGATGATGGGAGAAAATAAAGAAAAGAAGGAAGAAGAAAAGTGAGAGAGAAGGCAGCCACAGAAAACTGAGCTTTATAGTAAGTGTGTGCATTGCCCTGTGATCCTGTCTGCCTATAGTTAGAGGGCAAGGAGGCTGTATTAAAACTCTTAAAAAAACAGATCCTTTCTCTGTAACCTCCACTTGTGGTGAAGTAAAGTAATAAATGACAAATGTGGTTCAGGAAAATTTTCTCAAAGTTTTCATTAAACATAAGGAGTAATAAAACATTATGAAAGGAACCCAAGCATTGTTTCTGTTGTAAACAGCAGGCGGTTTACTTCTCAGAGATTGCTTATCAGTTATTCTTTTTCCGCAAAGCAGATCATTGGCTTCTCAAGCATCTGCACATAGCTCAAAACCTTGGAGTATTTCTTGGTGAAAGCCCTGTCTCCTTTGAAAACTCTGAAAGTGGTAATGAGGAAAGGCAAAACAAACACCCATCTCTGCTCAGTTTTCTTCTCACGGGGCTGAAATCAGGCTGCTGCCTTTGCAGCCGAGGTGAAATATCTTGTGGGGTGTGTGAAAAAAAAACCAATCCAAACAGCCCCTAACCTTCCTGGGAAGTGATATTCTTCATCTTCATTACTGTAGCCAGAAGCCTCTGGAGAGCAATGGATTTCAGAAGCTAGAGGACTCCCATTTTTGTTCAAAGGAAGGGCAACTGAGATGGATGAATGCGCCCCTGTGACCTTTCACCATCCAGATTTTGCGTTCAAGTAGTTCCATCAATTTGCTGGGAATCTCACAGTCAATGGTTCCAGCACTGGATGTGTGGGAGCTGTTAATATTCGATATCCAACCGAGGTATTATAAAATCCTCTGTGCAGGCACAGCGCTGTTCCCTGTGATCAAAGGTATGTGTTTGAGGATCTTTGACTCCTTCTAGAAAAAAGCACCGGTGATACCCTTACTTGAGTGCTGAATGAATATTCTGCTTACTTCTGCTTTACCTCTAGTACCAACTATTTTTTAACTGAAATAAAATAGTACTTTGAGTACTTTTTTGTAATTGTCTCTATGTTCTTTGAATTCTTCTGCTACCTCTGTTTCAAAGCACCTGAATTACAATGTCTCTCACAAGGTTTCCCAGCTCTACCAGATTTGGCTGGGGTGGAGTTAATTTTCTCTTCGCAGCAGCCCATATAATCCCGTGTTTTGGATTTGTGTCCAAAACAGTGCTGATAACGCACCAGTGTTTTAGCTATTGCTGAGCAGTGCTTGCACAGGGTCAAGACCTTCCCTGTTTCTCTGGCCTACTCTGGCGCCCCAGTGAGTAGGCTGGGGGTGGGTAAGAGGCTGGAGTGGGACAGCCGGGACAGCTGACCCAAACTGACCAAAAGGATATTCCATACCATATAACGTCAGATTCAGCAACAAAAATTGAGGGGAAGGGGGAGATTCCAAAGCTGCTGTTGCTCAGGGACAAGCTAAGCATCGGTCTGCTGGTGGGAGGTGGTGAGTGATTGCCCTTGCACCACAGAATCATAGAATTGTTTAGTTTGGAAAAGACCTTTAAGATCATCGAGTCCAACCGTCAACCTAACACTGCCAAGTCCACCACTAAACCACGTCCCTAAGCACCACATCTACACATCTTTTAAATACCTCCAGGGATGGTGACTCAACCACTTGCCTGGGCAGCCTGTTCCAATGCTTGACAACCCTTTCGGTGAAGAAATTTTTCCTAATATCCAAACTAAACCTCCCCTTGAGGCCATTCCTCTTGTCCTATCGCTTGTTACTTGGGAGGAGAGACCGACACCTACACTTGTGGGTTTTCTCCTCTATTATTATTAAGTTGTCTTAATCTCAACCCAGCCTTCTTTCACACCCGTATATTTGAACATTTCTACTGTGCTCAGCACTTAAAAATGTCATCTAGCACCCAACCTGCTTTATTTCAAATTGGATTTTCAGCATCTAGTACACTGGCCACCGACTAAGGTTTCAGTGCCACCTCATTGCAGTTAAATAGCAGGGCAGGACCCCACGACTAAGGTTTCAGTGCCACCTCATTGCAGTTAAATAGCAGGACTAAGACAGGATTTTTAAATCCCTTCACTTCTTGGTACTGACAGTGCGTACCGTACACTCACCTGGGGGAGCCGAGCCGAGCCGCG